TGCCCATATCTCGTACAACTGCAAACAATCTCACTCTTAAATACCACCTCCATGACATCATTCTCCTGCCCCCAATGTTAAATGACACTCTGCTTTGTACCATGTAAACTCTAAGCACTTCAAACTAGGTTTTCACGGCTTCCCATAATTTTGTACCTACCTACCTCCAAACTTACTCTCCCTCCGCCTGGGTTCCTATTAATGTATATTTTACTTTGAGTAAACCAATCTCTTCACCTCCATACTCCCTCCATGAAACACTCGCTCCTCTTCTCTTACCAGACTTGGTGAATTTATTCTTGCTGTTTGCCTCCTTAATTTCATACCTACACACACGTTATGTATATATATGCATAAACAGTCTCACAATGTTTGTCAATTGCTAATATATATTTATATATAATAAATACAATCCTATGTATGTACATATACATATATACGTAGACATCAATATACCATCTTATGCTTTTTTCTAGTTGCTAATACATAAAACATATACATATGTTTGTGCATATGTATGTACATACAGTCTTGCATTGTTTGCTAATTGTTTTACATTTGATCAATTTGTCTCTCAAATTAGATTTAATACTGTTTAGGAAATAAGCCTTCTTTTGTGCTTTATATGTAATCTTCACATTACCTAACACAGTTCTCGCCATCAATAAGCACGTGATGATCAATTCATTCATTATGCTACAAATATGCATGGAATGCTTACTTTCTGCTGTTTCTAAGAAAACACCTAAGAAAACTTCAGTGAACAAGACAGGCAGATTCCCTGCTCTCGACATGCTCATGGCCTATTGAATTGCCAAGATTTATTACTTTTACTTTTTGATAGGTACAGAATATAGGCCCATTTTTGAAAAAAAATTAGAATATAACTAAAAGCAAAAAGAAAAAATGTAAAATCATCTATATTTCCACCAGAATGATGGATTCTTGAAGGCTTCCACCATTCACTTCCTTGGTGGCATACAGCAGGATACCTTATACACAGATAATACAAAACCACCACTCACCGTTTTTCTCCTACAAAAGTTCACAGTGTCAGGCCTTCCTGAGAGTTCCAGTAATTACCAGATATGAATGCTGGCTACAGCTGTGAGTCCTTCTCTCCTCATTAGCAAAGGCAGGCCTCAGAACATATTATGAGTAATGACCTATAGACAACCACCTTCTCACTTGCCACCATTCTAAAGAACCCCAAGTAGCTGCATTCAGAAGTAACAGACGAATGAATGAAAGATGCCCATTCGGTTGTATCATGGAGGCATTAAAACAGGTGTTAAAATAAAGCAGGGACAAGGTGGCCCACAGTGACCCAGAAAGGCCAATGTGCTATTTAAACTAACCGCATGCCACCCCTCTTTACACACTGCTGTGCTGTAAAAGTTGTCCTTTATTCTTCGCCTTCAAACAATGCACAAAGGCAGCAGAAGGAAGGAAGTTATGTTGCAATATTCTGAAACATAAATCTTTCTTCCAGCCGGTCCAGGGACAGCATCCTGTTTTCTTTACACGTGGATTAGATTCACTGGAGGCTGCACCTATAGGCCTTGTGCCCTATTTCTCAAAGTGGCTTCTGAATCATACCTGGTCACCTGCATTTACACATTCAATCACAGGTTGTGCAAGCAAGCAGAGATCATTGTTTGTGTGTCCTGTTACTCAACCAGTGTATACAATTGCGTGTTGGTGCACAATTGCTCCCACTCAGAATTCCCTCTTTCCGAAATTGTGACATTCAACTTCATTCTTTTTTATTATTATGATGTTTGGGAAGTTAAAAATTAAACTTAGATTCTCATGAATGGAATAGGCAAAAGGCAGAGATTTCTGTTTACTCCCAACATTTTGACATTCTGTTATACTATTACGTAGCCCTAAATCCCACTGTCTGCTCTGATTAAAACTCAGAAATCCCATGGCCAATTTTCAGGGGTGTCATTAACATGCTACTTGAGTCAGGTGAAAGTGTTTAACTACTCAATGCCATATTTTCTTCTGGGAATCAGAGGTAGATAATGCTTGCTACTGTAGCATGAGAGATGGCAGAGCCCGTGACTGTCTGGCTTATTCAAATGTGATGAGGCAGGGCTTTGAGAACTGGAAGAAGGTGAGCACAGGTGAAAAGTCCACTGCAAGAGGCTGACCTGAGAAACGGCTTCAGTGAAATGCTGCTTTGGATGAAGCAACACAAAGCCCTGTATTTTGCTGTATATGGACCTTCTTCTCAGGGAAGACCCAATTTTAAAATTTCACCTATGCTCCAAACACACATTTTTCCCCCATTACAGAAAAGATGTCTGAGTTAAACACTAGAGGGCAAAGAGTAGATGCGTCACCACTCTATGCAAATGCTCCTGGAGCTGCTACTATCTGTAACAGTATTGCCACATATGACCTTTCTTTTCACATAGACAAAGAATGGGTTTTGTGACATCAGAGAAAACTGTTATGGGTACTTATCTAAACAGTCACTTTTGTTCTCTGTCACTATGAGAACACCTGACATATTAGTCCTATGGCCCCGGACACTTTGATAGTTTTGTATGGCTTCTCATTCTTTATATCCAGTATCTTACTATACTTTCTCTCAGAAATTTGACAAATTCATCTTTAGCACTTTATAAAGGGGAATTTCACTGATTTTAAACAAAACAAAACAGGGTTTCTTAACCTCAGCCCTGTTAGCATTTGAGGCTGAATAGTTCCTTGTTGTGTACAATCCTGTGCATTGTAGGATATTTAGCATCATCCCCAGTCTCTCCCCACCACATGCCAGGAGCATCCCCTTGTCCCCAGTCGTAACAATTAAACATGCCTCCAGACATTGTCAAACATCCCCTAGGGAGTAACATGGCCTTCGGTTGAGAATCATGGGTTTAAAATGGTCTAATGAGAGAAAAAGTTAAACAAATCTTTTGGTTTAGAGTGTTGAAAACAATTCTATCAGTGGTGGAATATTCCTCAAGGACTAAGAAGCAGTGCCATTGTATAGATTAAGCATCTATATATAGATAACTAACTAGTTGCTTAGCTAAGTCAATTGAAGGTACACATTTGAAGTAACTCACGTAGGTACCACAAGGAATATACGGTCATGGAAAAGCTGATCTTGTTTGAAACTAATTCACTAGGGAGGGCTTGACTGCCATAACATCTCCTCCCACCTCTTAGTTACTCTCTAACCATCATCGTCTACAAAATGCATGGCATTCATCCAATGCGAAATAGCGATTTTTAGATAAGAGGTCTATAGAGATGGACATTTTTTAAAGTGCTGTTTATTTAATGCAGCATGACTTAGAATGGGCCTGTAACCTGACAAGTGTGCTGGATGAGGAATGTTCAATTTACCAGTTCTAACCAGCCAAGTCCTCACATGAACTTTCTAAGACCCGGCTGAGCAGCCTGGGAAAGTATAGCTAACCACAAACCTTCAGTGTTTCCTCCACCTCGTTCCATCTCCCCAGCCCTAATTTTACCACCTTAAGCTTTCTTCTAAGATCCACTTAATGTTCCAGACGTATTATAAAATCTTAGCTGTGGGCAGAACCTACAGTTGCCTCAGCACACCAGCTACCCCTATCTCCGTGTCAACCAACACTGAAAGGAAAGATTCTGTTCTATTTTTAAATATATTGAGCAAAGAAGCAGCTTGCCACGTCTTTGTAAAGGATGGCTGTCACCCAAATTCACTGTTTCCCTACTTTATCTATGATATAGACTATGAAGTCAGATAAATTTGGAGTTCAAATCCTAGGTCTTTATTTGTCACCTGTGTGATTTGGGGAAAATCACTTAACCTCTCTGAGACTTACGTCTGCATACGTAAAATGGGAAAGTGTCTAAACAATAGGTTGTTTTGAGGGATAAGTGAGATTATATACATCAAGCAAGAATGTTTCAAAATGTTGGCCATTGTTGTTATTACTATCATTGTTATCAACATCATAATATTTATCATTCTCTCATTATTCAACAAATGTTTATCAGCACCTTCTATGCACTGGGTGCTGAAAAATTCAATTAATATTGTAAAATTGGCTTTGTTAAAGACTCAAGATTTCAATCAAATAACTTTGAAGTATAAGAAATGTCTTTGCTGGTGAATAACAAAAGCTTTATATGGAGCCCGGCACATAGTAGGTGCTCAGAAAATATTAGATGATGTTGATGGTGCTGGTGGTTGTAATATGGAAAACTAGTTGATTTGGCAATCTTTATTCAATTTCCTTGCCAGAGAATTTCACTAAATGTTTGTCCCTTTATGACATCATTTTATTTTCAAGCAAATGAGTACTGATCTTATGAGAAAGAATTTCTTTTCTTAAAGTAACACTTTAATAGGAGTAAATTAAATTTTTTATTATAGAGTAGGCTTATAATAAGAGTCTAGAATCTGGGAGGTAATTCTCACTACTAAAAGGCAAATTAATTTCTACTAATTTATAAGTATTTATTAGATTAGTTGAGTTTAGAAGTTTTTAATAGGTAAGTTAAGGGTATGTACCAAAAATATTATAATAAAATAAAGATTTCTCACCTACTTTGTAAAACAAATAAAGGTAGAGATCTAACCTCTTGGTTAAAAAGAAATGCCTTCTTGTATACTATGATTGGGCATCATATACTCTTCAGTCTCTTTCTGTGGTAAATAGACAGGGATAAACAGGTTTAAAGTTTTGTTCTTTGTCAGTAATTCTCTCACAACCCCTTAGTATTTCAACACAGTTTAATGCACTTTGTTTTTGGTTCTTAGCCCCTTAAATCTCAAAACAAAACCATCAAAAAATAATAATAATAAAAGCCACCATGTGTTTTCCAAACATTGTTTTTCCATAGAATAAGAAGTGTGTAACTGTGATGAAAAATCTTTTGATGACAGCCAAGTAAAAATCCATTATATTTTCAGGCCTACTACCTAACCTTGTTAGTCCAGCCCAAGCCAAGGTCAACGAGAAATTAATTTTTCCAAAGGATGTCCTTACCTCAAATATGTTGGAAGGCTCATTGTTGTACTGATTGGAAATTATTTCTGATTGGTCACTGCACCACTTGAGTCCACCCAGAAAGCTGTCTGTATCCAAGTCATTCACATCTAGTTCAGAAAGGTCAAGTTCAGGAAGATCTGGGCAAAGAGGCTGGTCTTCACCAACCAGAGCAGCACACTGTAGGAGACAGAGAGGGGCGAAAAAACCTTTCATTAACTGCAGGAATTTATTAAACTGCAATAGCATGTGATAGGAATTAAACCCGGTTAATTCAACGACATCACCAAAGCTGGTCTCTGGGGCTTTAATCACCAGGGAAAACATCCTGGATTCTTTACTCACTTGGCTCCCAAAGGATACTTTGTCTGATTTATTTCATCCAAAATTCTAACCTCCAAATCCATGGTTAATACAACACTTCCATGAAGACTTCTCTGATTCTTCTTGTTAGAAATCAGCTGGATTTGTTTGTACCTCTTTGATAGTTAGCACTTACCAAGTTTTAAATTGTCTTATGGTGAACTATATGCAAAATTTTACTCTCCCCTCAGAGAACAATCCCTCTGAGGGAAGGATACAAGCTTGATTTTACTTTGGAATTGCCATCACACATAATAGAGACTCAATAAACAATTTGTTAAATGAAAAATAGAATACAGGAACTATGCTAGGAACACTTTCTCCATTTATGCTACTTTTAAGCATTATAATTTATATAATTCATTTAGCAACTAATGATGCAAAGTCTTTACTCATTTATGGTTCTCTTGAATTGTTATTTAAATCATTTACTCTTACTTGATTTTTCATGCATTTTTGCACTTCATCCTTAACAGGTCAAAAGCAAATTCCTTGAGCTGAAGGACAAAAGTTATACTTCTTTTTATATCTTTCACTATGTATAACTTGCATGTCATGTGTGTTAATGTGCTTCTGTGTATGCGTGCGTGTGTGCATGTGAGTGTATGTGGTTGGGATCACCTCACACCTGGAAAAGAAAAGCCATAATAGCATATCACAACTATATTTTGTTCATTATTTATGTATACCTACTCTATGAATTCAAAATAACTATTTCTGTTTAGAGTTTTAAAACCACTTCAATATAAGGTTTAAAATATCCTCTACTGTGGCTGGGCTGCTGATCAGGAAGGCTATTTCAGATTGCCATAGTCGTCCATCTCCTCATATGGAGGAGACAGTCTTTTAACTGTCCCACCCTGTAGCTTTCTGAGGAAAGAGGACCCCTGTACCCCCACCAATGAGGTGGTCTCCTAAGCTTGAATTGACTATCTAACCGCTGATTCCAGTCTGCACTCTGTACAGAACCCTGCAGAAACTCCTGTTGCAGGAATCTGATGATGCCAGAGCCGTAAGGACGTTACCCACCTGCACACCGAGGTGTCTCACACACTCTGAAAAATCAGGAGGCACACACTCTGAAGCGGCACCCTCATGGCCCTAACATCCAAGGTCAGGAGAGATGCTGTGGAGCTGTTCAGATCCAGGCAGCAGTTGGGCATGAAGCTAAAGGTCCTCCTTGACATTTAGATTTTGAATAAAATAAGTCCTATGCAGATCTTTTTTCTCGAGCACCCCTGTCATCCCCGGAAGGCTCCACTGCACTAGTCATATGGAGCAGAGTGATCTAGCAACATGCTGAGAAGTAGGTAGCAGGTAATGGAGTCAGCAGTCGGTAAGGGGAGGGAGGGAAGGACCTGCAAACCACTGTGGTTCTTCCCGGAGACCACCGGGTCCCAGTGGGATCCCAAACAGCAGGCATAAGGTAATGCAAAGAAAGGGCCCTCGTTTTGATCGAAACTCTTTCCTTATCATCTTATTGGTCTTTCCTTTTGATTATCTGAGTTAGCCCAGAGTTACAGAGCAGTAGACTTGACTAGGTTCATAAGTAAGTGGAGGCTGGACAGAAGAGAAGATCCTGTTCTGGCACAATATTCGCGTTTTGTTGTGGGTGTAACACTGCCAGACTCCACTGTTGCCCATACTGTTTATCCTCCAAGTACAAGTACACACAGCTTTAACTCTTCCTCAACACCACCAGTTCAGAGACAAGGGGACAACTTTCTCAATGGTTAAAAAAAAAAAAAAAAAAAAAAAAGGAAAAAAAAAAAAACCCAGAGGGTTTTCTTGGGGGGATTTTCCTTTAAAAAAAGCAAAAACAACAGAAAAAGGAAAAAAAAAAAAACCCAGAGGGTTTTCTTGGGGGGATTTTCCTTTAAAAAAAAAAAAAAAAAAAAAACACAGTAGGATTTCATTGGGGGATATTCCTTTAAAAAAAGCATAAACAACAGAAATAGGAACAACAAAAAAAGCTAGAAAATGTAGGCTGTCTACATCTGGCTTAAGTTCCTGGTGTGGAACTTAGAAACTGTGTTTTGGAATGCTGAAGTGTTATACTGGTTGTAGACAACTTCTCTCTGTTTCTTTAACTGTCCTCTCGAGGCATGACTTGTTTCAAATCCTTTAACCTTTCAGAAACATGTATTTTTAAATACAATTTGTTATTTTTTATTTCCTGCAATGTACGTATTCGTTTTCTTTCCTACCCACCACCCCCTTTATTTTTGTTTTTATCTTATGGTTGCAAAAAATGCCTGTGGTCTTGCCAGTGTTGACATGCTAATAAAATTATTGCTTCTGAATGTGGTATTATCCTGCTAATCTAAAACACATTAGTAGTAGCAAGTGTTCCTGTTATTAATTTATATCTGGCCTTTGGATGATGCCAGACTTAACAGTCCGAGCCCTGTAACTGTCCTCATCTGACTTGCTGATATTTACTGCTTCCCAATACATCTGTAACAGGTGTGCTTTATTGCAATTGCACAGACATATTCTTCTGCCTCTTTGCAACTATGACAGCTATTTCACAACTGTAGCCTTAATTTTATAATAAGATTTAAGAGGATAAAGCAGTCACCAAACACAAAAGGCTAATTATTATACGTTATTTCACCCCAACAGACTTTTCTTTTAGTTAAGGAGCAGACAATAAATTAGCTTAACTGCACTGATGATAATGAATCATTATAATTAAGTATAATTCTCCATTAACCTTTTGGAGGTTTTTGTGCCATTGATGGTAAATTTTAAAGAGAGAGAGAGAGAAGAAGGAGCGGACTTGGCCACATTAATTATATTAATGAAAAAAGAATCTTACTTCTTAAAAAAAAATTAGTCAAGACAGGGGAAAGGAGGTGGAGAGGGGGCATTAAAGAATGACAGTCTTAGTGGAGTGTATGTCATGTGAATTGTCTCTATCAATCTTAGTAACCTTATTGTACATCACCTTCATTAAACTGTGAAACACTGGGGACTCTGAGTAGCTATAGTGATATAGGCCTTTATTAACCGATGTGCTGTCCCGTCATTATGTGCAAAAGGGCATAATATGTTTTAGGATGACAGCAAACATTAATGATTCAAAAAATGAAAACTGCTATGCTACCTGCTGCTCATAATATTTTAGACTGGCAGAGGTGATTCCCAGAGCTGCTGCCACAAAGGCAGGGCTTCCAGCCGCTGGCTGCCTACAGCACCACAGAGAATCAACTGGCCAGTCTCAGCCTACTGCCCGACAACTCAATCCAAGGCTGGACAATTAGCCTGAGACTTCTCCTCTCTAAAAAAAAAAAAAAAAAATTTAAAGGCCACTTTTCTCAATGGTTCTGATGCCTTTTTGAAAATGATGGCAGGAATTCTAATGATTAAAGTGAATTTTCCTTATTTCTATATGATCTGGTTCCTCAATCAACTCCTAGCAGCATCAGGAATAATACATGATGGAAAAATGAAACTACAGCAGCCGAGATCCACAGTGCCAGCCAGACAGCCACCCACAGTATACTCCGGCTACTCAAAGACAATTAGGACTTTGAAGCCACTTAGAACTCTGACTCATAATAGCTACAGGACATATGAATTATCCATATCTATTCTTCCTTACCAAGAAATCACAACAAGATAAGAACAATTACAATCCACAAATACAGTCTGCCAAGGAAAGGGGGGTGGGGGGTAAACGAAGGCAACATTTGCAAACCCTGCAAAGAGTTAAGAATCCAGGGCATGCTTCGCTAGATAGGAAAAATGCATTCTCAGATGGCCTTGGCCAAATTATTTTCACTTTAGATGTGTATCGCTGTACCACATGGACATCTTATTTAATCAAATCACGTGTGGCACTTGATCCTCCCCCTTACCCTACGTGCCCCCGGCTACCCAGAGGAAATACTCCCAGTCCTTTGCCAGACTCATTGTGAGCAGCTCGGATCCTCCATGCAATTCAATTCAGGTCCATCTCACCAGAGTCCACAGAAAGTTTCACTTGTTTCCCAAGTTGCCCAAACTTTCCGGGAACATTCCATTGTGCTGAATGCAAACACGCCGAGGTCCTCTGTCCCCCCACTAGGCTCCAGAGATTACGAGGAAACTGCTTGCATTTTTCCCCCCGTGTATGAATTGTAGCCAGCAGAGACTGTGGAATTGATGTATTGCCATCTATTTTTACACAAGCAGCGAGCAGTTCCACACACAGTCCTGCATAAACTCTATTCTCTCTCCGACTTCAGGCAGCTCTCCGTGACACAGGGAGATTTAACCATTGGCTTCCCTGCCACCAACGCAAAAGGAAAACCTTGCACTGGCAAGGCATTTTTTTATCCGCTGGCCAAATCTTTCAACCACATAGATGAGTTTTAAGGGAAGCAGCATTGTTGTCTTGTGTTGTGTGGGAAAAGCAATCTAAAATAGCCCAGTGGGATTATTTAGGATTTTGTAAGTTCTCTGTCTGATGAACAGAGAGAGAAGGGGAAAAAAATCCAGGCTAGAGTCAAAACGGACTATATTTGAACACATCCATTTTAATACTTTTATCTTCATCTTATTATAAATAGAAATGGCATTTTTCCAACCAGGCCACTAAACACCACTGGAAAGACTTCAGCTTCTGATTCATATCAATATCTTAGAGCATAAATATTGCATATGAGTAGAAACAGAGCCAAAGGCACATGGAAAGAGTTCCTAACTGCAACAGATACTGATGACAGCAGCTAAGCTTTGATTTGCTCAAGGCATCTCAGAGCCACCTTAAAATAGCAAACTTATTGGAGTTAAGATAAGATTGAGATTCCCTTCCAAAAGCTCCGCCTGCC